CCCCCCCCCCCCCCCGCCCAAACCTAGAACTGCTGCTGATGCTGATGCCTCCATCCCTCCCACCCTCCTGCGCAGCTTTGCTGTCGCCAGACAGGGTTTCTCTGTATCTTTGGAGCCTGTCCTGGAACTAGCGCTTGTAAATCAGGCTGGCCTCGAACTCACAGAGATCCGCCTGCCTCTACCTCCAGAGTACTGGGATTAAGGGCGTGCGCCGTCACCACCAGCAAAACCTGAGAATTCTCAAGGAGGGAATTAGGTTTGTTTGTTTGTTTGGTGTGTGTGTGTGTGTGTGTGTGTGTGTGTGTGTGTGTGTGTGTGCTGAGTTCGATTCCCAGCAATGACTTGGTTGCTCACAAACATCTATATCGAGATTTGGTGCCCTCTTCTGGCCTGCAGGTGTACATGCCTGAATACTTATACATTATAAAAAAGTTGTTCGATATTTGCACCAAGTATGAAAACTTGGCTGGGAAGATACAAACCTTAGAAAGAACTGCTGACGAAACGGAGAAAGATTTTCACACGCAGAGGACTCCAGAGCAGAACCATTGCATGAAACTGGAGAGGAGCAGGCCAAGGTTATTAGAAGACCAACGTTGTTTCTTTTTTATAATTTATTTAATTTTATTCTATCTGCATTGGTGTGAAGGTGTCAGATCTCCTGGAATTGGAGCTACAGACAGTTATGAGCTGCCATGTGGCTCCTGGGAAATGAACTCAGGTTCTCTGGAAGAGCAGCCAACTTTATTATTATTATTTTTTTTTTTCAAGACAGGGTTTCTCTGTAGCTTTGGAGCCTGTCCTGGAACTAGCTCTTGTAGACCAGGCTGGCCTTGAACTCACCCCAACCTCCCAGCTCCCAATTATTTATTTTTGTTTGCTTTTTTTTTTTTCAAGACAGGATTTCTTTGTGTAACAGCCCTGGCCATCCTGGAATCCACTCTGCAGACCAGGCTGGCCTCAAACTCACAGAGATCCACCTGTCTCTGCTTCTCAAGTGCTGGGATTAAAGGCGTGTGCCACCATCATCTGACAGAAAACCAATTTTATCCAATTAACATACAAGCAGGAGCACCAGCTGGGTGGTGGTGGCTCACACCTTTAATTCCAGCACTAGGGAGGTAGAAACAGGAAGGGATATGGCTGGGCAGAGGGAGGAATATAGGGCAGGAGAGACAGGAGCTCAGAGTCTGAGGACTTGGAGAGACAGGATACCCCATTCGATCTGAGGAGGTCACAGGGGTGACAACTAGTGACTGGCTGCTCTGCTCTTTCAGCTTTCACCCCCAATGTCTGACTCTGGGTTTTATTTTTAAGACCAATTAGAATTCACGCTACATAGGGTTGGGGCAGAGTTTTGTTTTTGTCTTTCCAGGAGAATAAAAGCATCCAACTAAGAAGACCACTGGACAAATGGGAGAGCGGAAGGAAAAGGACAAATCGTCCAGAAAACATGTATATAACAGAGCAGACTGACCTGCTGAGACATCACATTTCCAACAGGATGAACGTCCATAAACCTTTCCAGCTGTTTGCTTCTGCTCTCCTCTGGGGTGTAAGACAAGCGGGCTTCTTGCAGTCCCAATTCTATTGAAAATTAAAGCTGACTTTGGAGTTGGAGCGTGGTTCTCCTCTTCAGTAAACCCAAGCAATGTGTGTTAGAGGAAAATCCAGTCTCCGTCTCATGGCAGAAGAGTCGCCTAGCGTGGGACAGGAGAAAAACCAAGAATAAGGGACTATTTTGTTGGTACTAATTCATAGTCCGTTGGTTTTATTTTAAGGAATAAACATTATCTCAATTTTCTCAGAGTCCCCTATAGATGCTGTTGCCTCCAGACAGTGGGAAGTAATTTTAAGACCACAATGCCCACATTCCCAAGAGGTTGGGCAGGTGGGTTTTGGTTGGTTGGTGCATTATGGATGTTTAACATCATTTGGGGGATTGGTTAAAAGTTATTATGTTCATGGTCAGGGAGAAAACTAGACAAAAGAGGTTAGATTTTTTAAGAAAAGAAGCCAGGCAGTGGTGGTGCACGCCTTTAATCCCAGCACTCGGGAGGCAGAGGCGGGTAGATACCTGTGAGTTTGAGGCCAGCCTGGTCTACAAGAGCTACTAGTTCCAGGACAGGCTTCAAAGCTACAGAGAAACCCTGTCTCAAAAAAACCAAAAAATTAATTAATTAATTAATTTGATTTAATTAGATAAAAAGAAGAATCTCTTTCTAAGAAGATTTAAAAAGGGGGAGAGATAGGAATGATTGGATAAAAGTGAATATTATTGAATCTAGTTTTAAACTAAACAGCAACTATTAATCTCAAATGTTTTATATTGGTATGAATTTTTATATATTGATACAAATTTAAGGGTTTTTCATTACAATATACTGTATATACGTTTTTACTCTTGTTTAAAATATTGCACCTATGCAGCTCATTTGAAACTGTAATGTAATGTAAAGTTCTAGGACTTGAAATCTATTATTATGAACTATTTAAGATAATTGAATGCAGGGTAGTAGTTAGTCATCTGTAACAATCAAATTTATAGTCATGTTAGGTATGTTTTCAAGGTCAAACAGATATATTTTGGGTAGACAGGTAGCCTTCAAGTACTTCAGAGACCTACAGAATATGGTATTTAAACTATTTTAATAACATAAGGCTTTGCATGACAGATATGTCTGCTCTTGGCAGCACCATTTTACTTCAAAAATGGATGCTAGGCATGAAAGAGCTTCCTTGGGGAGTTTTCTTTCATTTGTGGAAAAGTTAGCTACTGGGCAAGAAAGTGCCCTTGCCTTGACTGCTGACAGTATGCTGTACAAACTGGATAAACAGGACACAAAGGAAAAAGGCTGCTGAACTTTACCAAAACAAGGCAGGGAAGTCCTTCAAAAATTCCTGTTTCACAGAAAAATCTGTCAGATATTCTAGGCCTGTAGGTTGAAGACGGATGTCCCAACATTGCAGAGGAACCTCGGGAAACTGTCCAGGTATCTGCTGCCTCTGTCATTTCTAAAGTTTTGAAAATTACTTGTTCTGCATTTCCTTGTTTACTTGGGCAATGTTATATCCTTCTGGGATCTTTGGTGAGATTGAAGAATAGATACTTATTGTTACAATTTTCCTTGTTACCAAAGTTAGAAAAGACACACAGAAGATATGTAAAGTTTATCAAGCTGAAGAGACATAAAGCTTCAATTGTTTATGAAAGAATATGTCTTAAGGTCTAGGTTGGAAATACAAGCTATGATAAAAAGTTAATTAGGTATAAAACTTTGACCTCACCAAGATAGAATAGATAACAGACCATTTTCTCCAAAATTGCCAAACACAAGTGGACTGGATATTTTTAATGTAATTGTACCTGATAATTATTCTTATTGTTTTTTTGTTTCTTTTGTTTTGTTTTTCGAGACAGGTTTCTCTGTGGCTTTGGAGCCTGTCCTGGAACTAGCTCTTGTAGACCAGGCTGGTCTTGAACTCACAGAGATCCACCTGCCTCTGCTTCTTTAGTGCTGGGATTAAAGGCATGCACCACCACTGCCCAGCTTTTTTAAAAATTGTTCTTATGGTATATATTTTTATTATGTTTAGAGTTAAAACCT